ACATTTTTTTTTAATTAGATACAGCAGTCATCAAGCAGACATTTACTTCAAAATTTAAACAAATTTTAGTGCCCATCAATTAAAACAACACAATTCTGCGGTTCTGATGAAGAAACGGAGAAAAATGCCTTTAAAGTTTTTTTATACCAGCCAGTCAAACATGTTATGTGTAGATTATGTGGTAATGCATCTCCGAAACAGGACATAATTTAACCCAGATATTTTTTCACAAGACAGACATGTCATAAAGCCCATTACAAGTCTTAACTCATTTTTGACCAAATAATTTTCGTTACTGTGCTTTGCCTTTGTAGGGCAGTGTGTGCAGGGCTGCCAACTCTCACGCATTGAGTGTGAGACAATTCTCACGCTACACCCCCGATTTCTCATGCTAAAGTGTCAAGCCGGTCACTAAAATACCTGAAAAGATGAGTTTATCTATAGTTCCACCCGTTGAGCCACTCGTGATCGACTAGTTTTACCGCAAATTAGTTAATTAAAATATCCTCTAATCTAGAGCGAACGTGCATACGAGACAGATGTTGAGCTCCTAACGGCGCGGACGCAAAGCCAGGACTGGGGCCAAAGCCCGTTCCTCTCTGCACTCTAAGCGTTCTGTTATCACTCCGCCTCCATCCACTACGGGTTTTCCAGTCTCACGCACAGGAAAAATGGACGATTTTAAAAGATAATCTTGTTTTATTTTTTATGTGAAAAACTGCTCCGTGTCCGATTTTAAAAGATAAGTTAATCTTATTTTTTCTTTTTATGTATCACAAACGTCTGAATTTATAATACTCAATGTAATGACTTGGAAAGTATTCTAGCACTACACGTTTAATTCATTTTCCAGCTGCCTTTTTGCACCCAGGTAAAAAGAACAATTATACAAATTCTACGAACACTTTTAGTTTGCTAACAAAAATATCGTTGTCATTGAACTATGCCGTTAACGACAGACTTGCGACCATAGTTGGCCAACCTTTCGGGAAACGCACCCAGAACGCATCATGGCATGGTAGCCTACTGTATGCGTATATTAATGTATTCGGAGTAAACAACCCTGATGCTAAAACTTACTTTAAATATGATGTTTCTTCTGTGAAGATGAAGACGTATCCTGACTTGCAATCTCTCGTCCTCTGCTGCTCGTCTGTTTGAAAAATGCGCGCGTGCTGACGAAAGTTTTTTTTTTTTTTAATCAGCATCAGCAACTGCCAATAAAATTTTGGGGTGGCACCCGGGGTGGCCAATCGCATGTCAGGGGTGTCCAGTGCCACCCCGGACCCCCCTCTGGCTCCGCCACTGCATTTGGGAGATTTTTGTAGAAGTGAAATAAATTAAGAAAGTGAAACAGAAAAAAAGTTATAGAAGTTTGAGTTTATGGAAATGTACAATGTAAAAATATTAATTATTCATATTTTACATAAAATATATATTTTCAAAACCTGGGCTACTCTAAAATGGCAGAAAGATCAAAGCCAAAAATCTGAACAAGTTGTGTTTCAAATTTTAGGTTGATATCTCAAAAAATGAGCTTTGAGATTTTGTTTGAGCGCAGTACCAAATTTTTTCACTAGGGCACAATCAGACTCCATTACTGCCCATATAAGGGCGTCTGCATTTCCATTCGTGTTTTGAGTGATATGAACCATTATTTTCACAATTTTCATACAATTTCTGAAGTAGAGATCCTATTCAGAAGTAGCATGGGAAGTTTGGCAGATTTTGATATGAATTGAACCTCTAAGAAACACATACAAAGAACACGCATGTAAGTCACAGCTAGCTGACACGTCACAAATGGTGAATTTATTATTTTTATCTTGATATTTCAAACTTTTCAGACCTTTTTTTTCCAAAATAATTGAATGGATTCTATCTTTTGAACTTTTGGCATGAAAACAAACTGAGGTATCTACCATTTTTTCATGATTTTTCATGTTTACTGCTATTTTAAAATAAAGGTCTGAACACGCCTTATGACTATGAAAATATTCTTGTTTTATATTGATAAATTATGGCTCCTCTGTAATATATTTTGAAAATCAGTCACCAAATATGGAAACTAGAGATTGTAAGCTTTCAAATTATATATAGTTTGTCAATATTATTTAAGGTATTTACTAAGATATTGTTGTTTTAAAAATATAGTGGCAAACGTCCCACCTGTGGGACGGTGACAGTGATGTGAATATTTTCTAGAAATAAAAATACCAGATACATACAGCATATTCATTTTTCATTGATTCTTGCACCCAATGACACAACAAGATGACATTTAATAATAATGATAATAATAATTTTAGATCCTTAATATTATGTTGCCGAATCTGTGCTGGTTTGTATTGGCTGCCTCCAGTTTTCCCTTTGTTTTGCCTCCAGTTAACGCTGTGACGTAACTGTGACGTCGGCTCGAAACTGGTCTATACTAAGTTCTTGTCAGAATGAAGAATATAAGTGTGATGTGTGATTATTGTTTTATTGTATTGACGCGTCAGTTCCATTTGCATGTTAAATAGAGGGTTGTCGTCTGGCAGCGGCCTGGTTTACCTCTTGTTCTGAGTTTAAATAGAGCTGAATGTGCTTCATTTTCCTGTCAGTGTGAGCAAAGATAAACTAAGAAAAGAGTGATGAAATTTAAGATTGAAAATCAAGAGGAACAACCGCGGTGGATTCTGGAAAACAGAATGAAATGCTGGCTTAACTTCGGGGGAATTCTGCAGACAATTACAAGTTTCTGAGACCCTTTTCTTTTTATTTTTTTGTGTGTGTGTTCTAGACTGATGTCCTCTCGCCTCCCCATCTTTGTCTCCTTAATGCTGGGCTCTCTGGTAAAATAAGCGCAGTAGACAAGAGTTCAAAGCTGCATTTGATGTTGTATTTGATGAGAAGAGAAGTGAACAAAAGCGCTGAAAGCCTCTCTCGCTCCTGCTTTCTCTCTTTCTGTGGTCTGCTGGTTCTTTGCCTCTAGTAATTACAGCGTTGTGGAAAGGGCAGTGACTGTGTGTTATTAAGAATGGCCATGGACCATTTTTTTAAATTTTGTTTTTAAGAAACTTTACCTAATTCCTTAACACACACACATATATATTATAAAATTGCTTATAAAACCAAGCAAATTTACTTCACAAAGATGGTTGAGACACACAGACACACAAGTACCATTTCACTTTCCTTATTATACATAGAAATCGTAAGAATATGACTAATACTGAATGATAAATAAAAGGTATAAGCTAACTTTTTTTTTGTTAATACAATAAAGTTAGTAAATTGGTTTGAGCCATGATTCATTTAAAAATATACAAAATAACACAGTGAAAATTAAGTGGTATTTTGGGGCTATGGAAACAACATTAACCCGGTAAATAATACTAACATGATATAATGAAACATGGACACTGATCCTGATGAATAGAATGAATGAATAGAATTAAAGAGTGCACGCTACAAGCACAGTTTAACATCAGACAGGACAAGGAAATCTTTTCTAAAAATAAATCGCTAGTTTATACCACTAACAAGGCTCAAAATAGCCCCTCACTAACACAGTAACATAATGAGGGTCCATACATGCAAAACGAAGCATTGAGAACTTTGTAAGTGTACAGATCGTTTAATAAGAAGATACTTTATAAAGACAGTTCACTTCGTGTATACAGACAGGAGCCATCTTGGAAAACAGTCACGACAAGTCAAACCACGAACGTTGTGCTGAGTCAGCTGAACTGTATGAAGTTCAGCGAACTTCTGAACTGTATGAAAGGCGTTCGGGGATCGACTAGACTATTTTCTAAGATCGTGAGCTTAGAATTATAAGGTTCTATCTTCATTTATAGTTCTGAGATATTGAGCATCAAAGTTTTTACATCCCAGCTGGCAAAACTGTTATGTAGTATAATCTTCTATTATAGCTTTATCTATTAATCTTTTTTTTTTTTTTTTTACAAAAAATAACACCACACAGGCATTAATAAACACCTAATGGATCAGATTATTTCAAAAACTCAATTTCGACCAAAAGTGGAGATAGAACCTTGAACCTCATGAGATGGCTCCTGTTTGTATCGTTTGGCTCCTGTTTGTGTCGGGTCGCATCTAGTGTGGACAGGCAAATTGCTTGTCGCTGGAATCTTATCGCATGGTTAGGACACGGTGTAAATCTTCATTGTTGATTTTGGGGCAAAAGCTCTACAAATTAAGCACACAGTAATGCTGGGAGAGGACAAAAAAATCATAAAGATTTCTGGAGAGATGAGAAAATATTGACAATGCCACATGCAGAAGCACCTTCAAAGAAATTGATATCATCACTTAATTTGTTTTATTTGTGCAGATAATATATTATATTCATATTCAACAAATATCCATCCAATATAAATCGTATTTAAAAATAAATCAACAAGGTGTCAAAAAGTTACCATGGAAAACTTAGTTTCCACAAAAATAAAAGCTGCTATAGTTACTGTATTTACTACTATATAAAAAAAGAACAAAGCAATAAGTCAAGAGAAGTTTCAAATAATGCTGTTATTTTTAAACATACTATTTATATCAGAATTTAAAAAAAACAAAAAACAAAAAACAAAACAAATCATCACTGTTTAAACATAAATAAATAAATAAATAAATAAATAAGCAGCTGTTTTCAAAATTGATAATGATAAAGAGAAATGTTTCTTGAGTTCCAAGTAAGCATATTGACTTCTGGAGGATCATGTGACACTGAAGACTGGAGTAATGTCTACTAAAAATTAAGCTTTGACATCACAAGAATAAAATACATTTGAAAATATATTACAATACCTATCAACTATTTTATTATTTCACAATTTTGCTGCTTTTACTGTATTTTTGATTAAATAAATGTTGCTTTGGTGAGCCTAAGTTACTTTTTTTCAAAAACTTTTAAACAAAGAGTATTTTTTAGGGAATATATTGTTGCATAATGGGATTTTTTATGACTTTTTGTGTCTGTCTTTGTGTTTTCTCCACAGAAATGCATGAAATTTAACCTGGAGTCACCTATCTGGTTGTCAAAACAACAAATCCTCTGCACACTCAACCAGAGCCTGAAAGATGTGTTAAATTACGGACTCTTCCAGCCTGCATACAACGGCAAAGCTGGAAAGTTCCTGGATGAGCAGCGCACACTGAAAGAATACCCACTTCCTGCCATCCCTCCTGTCCCGTACCTTGAGGTGAGGGCTTTTCACTGACTTTACTCATGGAGCAGACCACAGTTCCACTGCACATCCATTTTCTGCTCAGCTCATTCATTGTTCGCTTTCTACTAATTGTGGTGCTGCTTTCTTTTACTTTCCTCTCTTTTTTCATCCTTTAAATGGTCTTTTCCTGTGATTGGCTGAGGGAATGTGACACTAGTATTTGATACAGTGTTGTAGTACTCAAGACTCGGACTCGTCTCGGACTCGGTCTCGAGACCATATTTTAATGGTCTTGGTCTTGTCATGGACTCGTGTGCATTTGGACTCGGAATTGACTCGTACTCGAACATTTTTTTTTTAGGACTCGGACTTATTCCCGAGTCCACTCGAGTTCAATTCAAAATATTTTTCATGATTATTAATGTATGTTAATAAAATATTTCTTTAAATTGATTGACACGCCCATTGATTGGTGATTTTCTAGTGCGCATCTGCGCATGACAAATTGTAATAAAATTACTTTCAACACCACCTACTATGTGGCCTTTTTACCCTAAACTGATCATATTTTTTAAACTCTAAGTAAATTCATTAAAAAAAAAAAAGAATTTCTCTAAGTAAATAAAAGTAAATTAGGTAATCAACGCTCACTGGTCTCGGTCTTGACTCGGACTCGACCGTCTTTGGTCTCGGACTCGACTCGGACTCGACTCTCTATGGACTCGGTCTTGACTTGGACTCGACTCTCTGGTCTTGGTCTCGACTCGGACTCGAGTGAGGTGGTCTCGACTACAACACTGATTTGATACACAACATATGGCTGTGTTTTACACTTTTGGCTAAGTGTTATGCACAAAAACATCCACACATTCACAGGATTAAGTATGAGAGCTGTATCGATTGCTCTACAGTGTTTGACAGATGTGTAGAGTAAATCTGGTGTTGGTCCCATATCAGTTATCAGGCGAAATTACAAATTGGTAACAGTTTACAGTAAGGTTCCATTTGTTAACTCTAGTTAATTATGCTAGTTGAACAATATGTGTAAAGCATTTATTGATCTTAGTTAATGTTAATTCCAATATTTAATAAAACACTATTTAAGTCAAAATTGAATACTGTAGCAAATATTTTCCTCATTTGTTAGATAATGCATTTACTAATGTTACCTAGTTGGCAAAATGTTTCAGCCAGTGTTGTATGTATATTCGATTCGTATGGACATATTTGAGATTACTAAGTAGTTTAAGCCCTACTTAGAGGGTCATACCCCCAAATCCCTCCATAATTCACACCCTGTTCTTGGGGCACACCATGTGCACCAGTAATAGAAAAGCTTGGCTTGCTTACAGTGTGTTCAGCAGATCTCATTTTGGCACCCTGCCTTCTTGAGTATATCTCCATTGTTCCATCCTCGTCTGTCAGCCTGTGTGGTCAGGAATACTCTGATTATCATTTCACCTGATTTATCATTCCAATTTTTACTTTTGTGGGGCTGCATTTGAGCGAGAGAGCAAACAAAAGTTGGCTTCTGAAAAATGGCCTCTCCATATTTCTGCTGTGAGCCGATAAATGACAGAAAGAAATCATTTCCTTTATGCAGTTAGGCTCTTTCTGAATTTGTTGCTGCACTATAAATTTATTACAAATGTCTCCTAGGTGCCATAAACCATGACAAAGCATGAATTAATGTCTCAACCCGTTTGCCATCATTTAAAGACACACATCTATATAAGCCTCTAAATATATTTGACTGTGTAGACGTACTGACATAACCTACAAATCCCCTGCAGTCAGGCAGCACAGCACTGTGTCCTAACCAGGTGTGATGCAATAGTAACTATAATACCATCCATCCGTTATATCTATTTCATTTTGTAAAGTGACTTTAAGTTCTAGCAATGCACTATACAATTAATGAATTATTGTGATTATACTGTATATAAATATGATTTAATATAGACTTAAGTAAACTTATGTCAAACTAACATCAATTAAGTTTCCAATTTCAAGTTATCTCCGGTCCACACAAATTACAGCCAATCAGAAAATATTTGATTACAGTTTTGCTCAAAAGTTTAGAGAATCTACAAAAATGTTAATTATTTTAACAAAATTCGGGGATCATATGAGATGCTTGTTATTTTTTATTCAGTATGGTCCTGAATAAAATATTTTACATGAAAGATGATTACATATACTCCACAAGACAAAAAAAAAAAAACCCTGAATTTATTTTCAATACCCTTTATTCTTAATACTGTGTGTCATTACCTGGATGCGCGCCGTCACTGACCTTGCTCTCCGAACTCCCTGGATCAGGTGATGCTCACCATTCTGTGGCTGAACCTGTCCAGTGTGCAGGATGTCAGGTGGACCCTTCTGCTTGACACCCCCATATCACTCTTTGCACGGATGCACTGGCGCACAGCTGGCCGCGTTGTCTACGAGACACCTGTGGTGGCTACCATCACTTCCGCTAGAGCGTCGTCCACGAGACACGTCTACACGTTGAAGTGGAACCTCTTTGTCAGCTGGTACTCTTCTCACTGAGAAGACCCCCGGAGATTCTTTCCTTCCTTCAAGATGGGTTGGAGCAAAAGCTGTCTCCCTCCACCCTCAAGGTCTATGTCGCCGCTATTGCTGGACACCACGACCTTATCAAAGGTAAGTTGGTATGGGAAGCACGACCTGATCGTCAGGTTCCTGAGAGGAGCGAGGAGACTGAATCCTCCTTGCCCTCCTCTCGTTCCCTCTTGGGACCTCTCAGTGGTTCTAACTGCCCTGCAGAGTGCTCCATTGGACCTTTGCAATCAGTTGAGCTTAACTTCCTGTCAATGAAGACAGCGCTTCTGGTTGCATTGGCCTCCATCAAGAGGGTAGGGGACCTGCACGCATTCAACCTGCACGCAAGGTTGTCCCACTGGATAGTGGAAGCCATTGCTTTGGCGTGCCAATAGCAAGGTCGACCGTGCCCCCTTGGTGTGACTGCCCACTCCACCCAGAGTGTGGCATCCTATTGGGCTCTAGCACATGGCGCCTTGCTAACAGACATCTGCAGACCTGCAGGCTGGGCGACACCCAACACATTCGCCAGATTCTATAATCTCCGAGTAGAGCCTGTGTCCTCTCGTGTACTTGCTTCAACCAGCTATTACTGGACCCGCTCAGGTGTCTTCGCTTGCTCGCCATTGATTCGCCATTGTTCTCCTCAGGTAAACCTCATAAGCCCTGAGCCCTCCAGCACTTCTGATGTTGGCGCCAGTCTATTGACCGTGCGTTGGCTAGGTGCGTCCCGTGTGCATGGTCCCTCTCCTGAGCGACCCCCAGGTGTATTTCCACTGTAAGCCTCTCTGAGTGAGTAACCCCCCCCCCCCAGGTTAGCAATAATTGCATATTCCCTCCAAAACTATGGGATATGCTTCCCAGTGTACCTTGGGATTCTTGTGCTAAAGAGTCCTTCGTCCAGTCCTTCGTCTTGAGTCCTTCGTCCATGCCAGTTCCACGACAAGGATCTCAGATTTACGCAGGGCACTGGAAGACAGCTGAGAAGGTGGCGTGATTAGACTGGTATCCCATTCTCATTCGATGGAACTCGGAGTGGCAACAAAAGGGAACGTCTCCGTTTACGGATATAATCCACGTTCCGTCTTCCTCAGTCTTCCGTTCCGTTGACCTCAGTCTTGGCTCCTCAGCTAAGAAACGTGTCTGTTTTGCTGCCAGCGTCCTCCTTATATACTCACGAGGTGAGGTGGAGATGCGCTATGCATAATCCGCAGACACATGGCATTTCTTTGCCATTGGCTTGTTTTATATTGAGCGAAGCTGATAGGCTTTCTAAGCGCAAATTCCATTCATCATCATCTGACGGAATGTCTTCGATCCCTACTCAGGGAACGGGGGTTACATCCGTAACTGAGACGTTCTCTAGTGTCTATTGCATATTTGAACACGATGCATTGAGAAAACCTTTGAACAGGATGAAGATCTCCTAAATGTTCGTATTTTATTTAAACATAAATAATAATAAAATAATAATAATAATAATAATGTATTACTCCTCTTTCGGAAACAACAGCATGTTTCCTGGAAGACAAATTAAATACAATTTTCCTTCAAATACCTTGATCTTCAAATTCAAAAAGTTTTCAGTTGTTCGTTGAAACCGGTGTTGTGTAAGTGGCTCCTGAAATTTTGGATCTGCGGCCAGGCAACTCCCTGGATCTTAATCCCAGAGAACCTGTGGTCAATCCTCAAAAGACAAGTGGACAAGAAAAATCCCTTAACCACCAGTCAGGATTTGCCCCAAAACTGATATCCAGCATGCCAAAGGGAATGGCAGAGGTGATGAAGAACAAGGGTTAACACTGTAAATATTGACTCTCATATATTGAATGTGAATACTGTTGGCCACAGCTGAAGACTCTTTGTCTGGTAAAAAGCAAAACTGTCAACCATGAGGGATATAACATGTGCGTAAACAGAAGGGGAGGCATTGTGTTTGTGTGTATGTGTGCGTTTCATCATTTCCCAATGCAACCCTCTGCACGTGAGCTGTCCACAATCGTTTATTGTGCTGTCATTGCTCCTGGCTGAGCATTGCCACACTTCATATGGTTCAGGCACCATCACTACACAGCAGAAGGTCCATCGACACACACCAGCGGGTCTATAGATCTGCCACATGCTGGCCTCCCAAACACCACTTGTGAACAGAGCCCTCGTGGGTTTGCTAGATAGACTCATAGATTGAGGGATGGGGATGGGGGAATATCTGTATGGTCAGATCTTAATGGAGCAGAGCGTCGGAGCTGTCAGTGTTCGCCCTGCCCTCTTCACGGGCACATGGATTTGTGTACAGCATTTACTTCTGCAGCTCAAAGTCATGGCTGTTTCACAGTAACGTTTTGCACTATGGTGTTGTAGTTGGTGTCGTGCTTTGGGATTGATGGCGCTGAGGTGTAGGACAGAAGAATTTTGGGTAGTGCTGAGAATTATAGTGTCGGCTCGCTTGTACTGCTACTGCCCACAGCCAGAGAGACACGTAGAGCAGCAGCGGGATTCTGTGGTGAGTTCTGATCGTGCAAGATCTATTCACTCTTGTTATTTGTTAGCTTTTGACATGTTTTCTCTTTTATCATCACATTTTGACTTGGTTGTTCCTGAGGCGTTTGTTAATGGCCTTGAGTTTGACAGCGATACATTACTTTGAGTTTCCAGTCTGCCTCTGAGTTTCTTAAACTTTGCTTTTGTTGTCATGGTTGAAATGCTGATTTTTTTTTTTTTTCCCCTTTCATCCCATAGCTCAAGAGAATTGTTTTCTATAATTTATCTTGTTTTTTTAAAGGTATAGTTCACTCTAAGGGATTGTTACAGATTAAAATTTAAGTTGTTAACCCCCCGGCCTGTGAGGGGTGATGGGGGTATGTGGTGAGCGAGAGGCTGCTGGCCGGTTTTATGTTTTATTTTCGCTAGCCAGCAGTTCCATGCATGTTCTCAACGGGGATATCGTCAATATCGTAACGATTAGAAACAACCTTAAATAATGTATGGTTATCTGCATCTTTCCGTCTCTATAGTTACTTTTTAAACACAAAAATTGCATTCGGCATGACATGCAAGCATTCAGCATGACATGGCAATCGGTCACGCCGGTCGTGTTTGACCATTTATTTGACTGACATAGTAACAATAACTAGGGGGCGTGGCTTTTGTGAACGGTCAATTTTCTCATCCGTGCATGTTTTAAAAGACTCTGCTGTCATGTTCCTCATTTTTTGCCTGAATATGCAGTTTGATGATTCACAGCAGGTTTTCTATTAGAAGACTGTGCAGCTGTAATGTAGATGTGCAGATGTTTAAGCAGCTCACAGTTATGATTACAGCAGTTCACACTCAAGCACAGTCTGTCTTCTTCCACTTATCAGTTTTAGCAAACATGGCTAACTGAACGATGTTATAGAGAACAAAGATTGTGATGTTAACAGCGCTTTAAGGCTAATCCATGCTGTGTTTTTTTGTTTTGGCAGTTTCGCTACAAGAGGCGAGTGTACACACAGACCCACCTGGATGAAAAACAGCTGTCGAAACTTCACACTAAGGTAAGTGCTTTAGCCTCTATCTTTTACACATAATGCAATGCATCTGGCTGATCTGCTTTCACTATAGCCACATTTTATTAGATTTTTTTTTATTTTTTAAGTTCAGTAGCTATTAAAGTTCCTCTATTTCATTATTCGCTGCTGGACTGTCCAGGGTGCTTTTCCTTGCCTCTGGCCTAAGAAACTGGATAGGCTCCAGCCCTATGACCCTAGAAGTTCGTGTGAATGATGAATGAATGTCATTGTTCAGGTTTAAATTGAAGTGATGTCACATGGTACCTGCTACTTTTCTCAACAGACCAACAGTGATTACTTGATGTGGATTTGTATCATTTTATTGGGACATTTTATGTTGTTCTTCACCGATAAATCATTCTAATTATTTGAATAATCATGCTTTTTAGCTACATCAATGTCTCAAATTAGATATCCTATTTGCTGTCTTATGTCGTAATTGCCGTAAAACTAGATGACAACCAGTGACGTTCTACTTGAAGCGGCAGTGGCGGTTTTACGCACGGGCCAATCATTTCTTCATGTCACATGGGGGACGGCACGAGCAGTTAAAAAAATCCTCTGTGCCGCGAAGGTTTTCTATTTTTTATTATTTCAATTCAATTATTGGCAATGGCGCCCCTACTTGCTGAGAAGGTGCCGTGCACAGAAGCGATGTCAAAGGGGTCTCCTGATCAGTTCACGTATCACGTCTTTTGCAGGCTCGAGGTCGTTATTTCAAATGTATGCGCACGCACTGTAAAAAATGAATATGACTGAAATCACTGAATATGTTAAATCTAATCAGTAAAATTGAGGCAACAAATTACAATCAATATTGTCAATTAAATTTAACAAATTAGAATTGAGTAACAACTAACCAAATGAAATACTTAAAAGTTAACCATTTAAAATGAGTAGAATTTACACATTTTTTTAAACAAAAATATCAGAAAAACAGACTAACGTCAAAGATGAATTAAGAACTCTTTTTTTATTGCCAACACTGAAGACACCTGATGATAACAAGCAGAATCACTGAAGAAGAAAACCAATTTTTAAGTCACCATTATGGAGATCAGTGTGATTTTAGTTGGGCCAATTGTTAATTCAGAATTCTTAATTCTTGACTACTTAATTCATCTTTGACGTCAGTCTGTTTTTTTTTTTATGTGTAAATTCTACTCATTTTAAATGTTTAACATTTAAGTAATTCATGTGGTTAGTTATTACTCAATTCTAATTTGTTAAATTTAATTAATAATATTGATTATAATCTGTTGCCTCAGTTTTATTGATTACATTTAACATATTCAGTCGTATTCATTTTTTACAGTGCGGCAAGCACGCTCATTATGGAAGCATTCTTATTATTGAAGCAACGCTCTCATTTTTTTTCCTGGAGCAGCGAGATGAAAATTTTTAAACTTTTCAGTATGGGAGTGCAGGTGCACCCAAACACTTGGGTGTTTTTCTCTTCTCCGTAAATAAATCTTTTAGCAGAGCAACAGCAAGCGTTTTTCTGTGGTTAAAATGCATATATCTAAAACTTCTTTGTCATTGTGGAGAGTGTAGTGCATGGCTTCAACGACAGCCATGGGAAAATCTCTCCGATTTTACTCTTAATAAATAATACTATTACTAGTATTAGTAATACTAGTACTATTAATAAATAATACTATTACTAGTATTACTAGAGTAGAACCTCCACTGTGAAGCGGTTTCTACGTGAAGACATTTCTATGGCACCACTATCAACTACATAATAAACTTATCAGGTGGTACAAGTCAGAGCCCTTTGAAAAGTTGTAATTACGAACAACTTTTGCAAGTCAGAATCTCGTAATTATGGTAATTCTGACATGGTGTGACCACACCTACAATTCAGGTGTAATAAATTAAGGTGATGTCACATTCCAAACAGCAAGATATTGTCGGCCCAAGTCCGGCCCACACATCTGGGCCTTGTGGAATCCATGTGTACCAGATGTGGGCTGGATCTGGACCTACACTGTTGCTCTCTGGGATGGCACCTGTTACTTTTATTAGCGCTGGAGATTACATGAGATCATTTTATTGAGATTGCTTTGGCAGATTTTATTTTGTTCTTCAGGGTGAAATAATTCTAATTAATAGATGTAAATAATTCTGCTTTTTATTTGTACCACTGTTTTAAATTAAACATCTAGAGATGAAAATAACCCTATGGATGATTCAGCTTTCTGACCCGCCTAGCGCCCTCTAGAGGAAGTTTGTCTCGTAGATAATGGTTATTAGCTAGTCACATCTGCCACCTGGAATGCTGAAGGTGTTGAGGTGTCATTGAGCTGTTTAGATAGAAGATGATGATAATGATGGCAGCAATCACGAGTTGCTTGAACGTGTATGACATGACCGTAACCTCCTCTGCTATTCACAGATCAACAACACTTCTCATAAACACAGACCGTAATGTGCCACAATTACCAGCCAGTCCAATCAACTCCCCTCTCATCATGTTAATGCTGCTGTTTTTGGCCCGTCTGGCCTCAATGAACAAGATCTCTTCTCATCTCTCCAAGAGAAAAGGAGTTATGGCCTAAATCAAAATGAGCCATTAGCGCAATAAATGAAAATCAATGTTGGCTTTGTATCAATTTTGGCATCATCATGTCGGTTTGAATCCTCTATTCCATCCAATTAGATGAGAGCCTTTCTTTAGATGACACTAATAATACCACACGGCTGACGGCGTCACCCTGAGTGACCGTATTACTGCACTGAATGAAATGAAAAAGTCATAATCAATGAATAATCCACACTAGTGCTTATTAAAGGGTTAGTTCACTGAGAAATTTTAATTCTGTCATTATTTGTTCACCGGAATTCCATACTAATGATTATCTTTCTTCAGTGTAGGGCTGTCGCGGTAACCGCAATATTGCGGTACCGCGCTTCTGAAGTCAACCGCAGAGGATTGCACGTAACCGCAGCAACCGCGATAATTACGTTTTTTTTTTTTTTTTTTTTTTTTTTTTTTATAAGGCTATACCCTTCTTGTTTTGAACTTAATGCATGTGTATTGAATGTTAAACAAGTTCATAATGATAACAAGATTGTTTATCATGGTGATGTGTAGCCTACAGGCTTCACACAGACAGTGAATGAGAGAGATCGGCAGAGCGCGTGCAACTACCTGCGTCTGTCTTTGAAGTCGTGAAAAGCTTGTCGTGTCAAAGGGAAGCGAAATATTTGTCGCATCATCATTTTAACGTTCTCTTCACGGGTATTTTCCCATAAATGCGCGTCAGCAGCAGCGCTGGTCAGCATCCCACAACACAAGGAAACCACAGGGAAATAAAATCAGTGAGTCACGCATTGAATCAATGATATCCCAGACAGCAAACTGACATTGAATCAACGTGGAAACGACGTCTCTCATGACATTGAAACAACGTTGATTTTGCTCATCGAATTAACGTTGAACCAACGTCAGACGCGGCATTCTTCAAAGCTAATGAAAATCGAAAATTGGTTTGCTTTCATAACGTTGAAACAACGCGTTGATTTCAAGTTGATTTTCCGTTAGTTTTGAAAGAATGACGCGTCTGACGTTGGATCAACGTTAATTCGATGAGCAAAACAATGTCAGATCAACGTTGTTTCGATGTCATATTTCCACGTTGATTCAATGTCAGTATGCTATCTGGGTATGTTGGTCTCTAATAAGTGAAGCATCAGCTTCAGCGTTGCCCATGCGACGCATTGCTGCTCAGCTGAGCCTTGAAAAGTTGAAATAATTAACATCTTGTTTCTTTACATCTCTTTTAATGAATCAGCTTTTTTTAAACGTGTTCGTTGAATGAACGGTTCAATGACTCGCTCAAAGTCCGTTGTCATAACAATATGCGCACTGAGTGAAAGTCTTTCAATGCGCATGTACTAACTGTAGACGCTGTTTAGTTTCGGTTACATTGGTTACTGAAAATGTCCTCGTTTTTGTCCACATCGTAAACTTTATTTATATAGCAACAAATACATAGGTCTATCAATTAAATAAAGAAATAAATGGCGGTAATACCGCATATCGCGCTATTGAGCCACTCAACATTACCACAAGGGAAATTCCATAACCGCGACAGCCCTACTTCAGTGGAACACAAGTGGACGTTTTTAGCAGTATATTCATGCTACTCTATTGCATATAAAGTAGATGTTGATTTATACTGAGAGGTGGGACATATGCAGTGAATATTCAGATTAGTGCTCGAACAATGTGACTTTTCCAATCCTTATCATCTTTTTCCTGAATATTTGTTTACATTGTTGCTGTCAAGCTCCAAAAATTACAAGGTACCATTGAAAGACCAGAATTTAAGTTGCTATTCACTGGTAATCTTTCCCTTAGTCCACCTGTGGTGAAAATCAAGCTTTTAATCTTGTATTTTCTAACACTCTTAAGTGCTGCCTATGCTGATTTGTCTTCCAATTCAGCAGGGCCAACGTAATTTACGGTTGCTTTTCTGTCATTGTGGTTTTGTTGTTGTAAAATTGTGGGTGCCATTTAGCTGCCGGACTGCGCCATCTCCTGCTTGCCCAGGGGGGTTGGTGAGAGCCATAATCCTCTTACAAACTGACATTGTTTCCATTTGTTGTTCTGACCTCTCCTGCTGGGTAAACACAGATGATCACAAATGCACATGTGTACACATGCTCTCAGATGAACGCAAACTCACACGTGAACCATCAATTTGCGAAGTGGTCTGTGTTCAGGTCGAACATTAGCCTAGTTTTCAGTCATTCACTCTGTTTTTACGGAGCTGAGATGAAAAATAATGCACTGTATGTGGTTAGTGGAGCCTGGAGGCCAGAGATGGTCAAATAACAGACGGTAGAAAGACGTCTTTCTTTAGCAGAGACAACAGACTCTCAGTGCTGAAGCAGCTGATGTTAATGTGGAACGGGAGCAGTTATCATTGCATTACTGGGCTCATAAAGATGCATGCAGCTTAACCCGACCAACGCCA